AGTCCAAAATAGTCCAAAAATGCGAGGCGGGGATTTATCCATATCCACCGCCTGGGAACCGACGTCCTGGTGCCCCAGCTGGCGGTGGATATATGGATATATTTCGGCCCCCGGGGGCCCGAATATGTCCATATCCACCGCCTGCCGAGGGTCCGAAAACTGACCCTCCAGGCGGTGGATATGGGGCCATCTTTCAGCATATTTGGGTGCAGGTTTTCTTCTTCGTCCAAAACCCGCCTGTAGGGCGACACGTCCGACCCAATGCGGGTGCCCCCCCCCCCCTTCCTCAGATCGGCGGTGGACAAACCTCCCTTTAGTAAACCTCCCCTTAGTGAAAACGGCCTGCGACCGAAACCGACGGACCTGGACCCGCAAAAAAGACGGCCGCGACGCCCTCTCGCGAACCGAAAACGGCCAATTCGCTGACCGACGTGTCAGGGTAGGCGGTCTTGTCCACCCCCGACAAAACCCGCCTGTAGGGCGACACGCCCGACCCAATGGTGGTGCCCCCCCCCCTTCCTCAGAAGGCCACATGCCTCGCTCCATGCCCTTTGGCGCGCCGCCGGCCTTCAGCACACGGCCCCGCCTGCGGGAGCTGCCAAACGTGCTCCTGGCCCAGGGTGTCCCCAGCTTTTCGCGCCACCCTGGAGCCCCTGGGGCTAGGCCGGGCGTGTCCCCCTACAGGCGGGTTTTGGACGATATATATATATATATATATATATACACATTATTATTAATAATAATAATATTAATAATAATCATAATCATAATAATAATGATGATAGTATAATAAGAATAAGAATAATAAACATATAATAATAATAATAATAATAATAATAATAATAGTAATAGTAATAATAATAATAATACTAATACTAATAATAATATAGATGGATACGGACAATGTTCACATATAGCCCAATATATGTTTAATGCATATATATATATATAAAGAAAAAGGAAAATACGATTCCCCCTGTAGAGGGACAAGCCCGACTTAATGCTGCCCCCATCGTGCTTAAGGGCCACATCCCAGAAGCAACTTCGGGCACCTAGAGCAGGATCGAAGCGGCGGCGAGCGCGTATCGCTTCCCAGGGCCCGACACGCGAAGACCCTCAGGTTTCGGCACCTTCCTGGTGCACGCAATTACAGTCGGGGCGTTGACCTAAGGAACCCTAAGTAAGGAACGAGGCCCCTTTTTTCCATAAGTTAACCTTCGATTTCCTGTCGAAAACATAAGGAAAGCCTGAGGCAAGCTGTAAAACACTCAAGGAACGCGGAGCCCCTCCCCAACGACAAGGGTTCCTTCTTCAGCGACCCGACTGCATGTCTGGTGGCCAAGGCTAAAGCAGGTTGGAACATCATAACCCCTGGGGTCTCGACCCATTCCCCGGGCCCCGTTTCTCGCCCCCAGTCCTCTCTTGGCGGTCCCGGGGCCTGGCGAGGGCCCCCCGGACGCCGAAAATAGCGAGCAGCCTCGCGTCGCGATTTCTTCACGGCGCGAGGGTGGCGGCCAGGGGCGCCTTCCCGGATCTCCGACGCCTTCCCAAATCTCCGACGAGGCGCCCCTTTCGTCATCCCGGGAGCCGGCGCTGGCGCCCCCGCGGGGCCCGAGATCGGCCCCTCGCGAGGCTGACAGAACACGCCGGCAGGAACGCCGGGACCAGAAGGCACTCAGGCGGGGGGGGGAGCACGCAGGCTCAGTGAGCCGTCGACTCCCAGGAAGATATGCGGGAGAACATGGGGCAAGTGGAGGGGGGGAGAAGGGCGAAGACACCGAAAGCGTGGGAGAAGGTGGGGAAGCCTCGGATCTGTCTGTTTGCTTGCGTGTCCCCCCTGGGCCCCTCCAGGGGCACCTCCTGCGGAGGCCGGGGCCCTCCTGCCGGACACCCCGACGGCGGGCCTGCCCAGCGCCCGCACCCGGAGCTCGTCCCTGGAGGCGTCGAGGCCGCAGGCGCGGCACGCCCCGAGAACGGCCGCGCGGTCGGAGAGCACCCGAACCTCGGAGCCCACCGGGAGCTCGTCCTCCTCCTCCTCCTCCTCCTCCTCCTCCTCTCATCATCACCTCCTCCTCCTCCCCTGCTCCTCCTCCTCCTCCTCTCTCCTCCTCATCCTCCTCCTCCTCCTCCTCCTCCTCCTCCTCCTCCTCCTCCTCCTCCTCCTCCTCCTCCTCCTCCTCCTCCCCTCCTCCTCCTCCTCCTCCTCCTCCCTCCTCCTCCTCCTCCTCTCCTCCTCCTCCTCCTCCTCCTCCTCCTCCTCCCCCCCCTCCTCCTCCTCTCCTCCTCCTCCTCTCCTCCTCCTCCTCCTCCTCCTCCTCCTCCTCCTCCCTCCTCCTCCTCCTCCTCCTCCCCTCCTCCTCCTCCTCCTCCTCCTCCTCCTCCTCCTCCTCCTCCTCCTCCTCCTCCTCCTCCCCTCCTCCACCTCCTCCTCTCCTCCTCCTCCTCCTCCTCCTCCTCCTCCTCCTCCTCGGACCTCGGAGCCCACCGGGAGCTCGTCCTC